AGCGACTGATTAACCGAAATGCTTTCACCGCAGGCGCCTGGTAAAATGCAGCGTATATGAAACTGCAGTCGAGCAGTCAGATGAAGAAATAACAGCCATTAAGACAAGGAGCATCGAGCACAATTCACACATCAGTCACTCAGAAAGACACCATTCAGCAAAAGATATAATTAGCCTGGAATACACAGTGGCAGTGTTGTATGAAATAACCTTTCCAAACAGGTCTGCTGAGGGCCAGCGAGAACCCCAGGCTCTGGAACATGTTTTTTTTATTAACTTTGTGTGTGAATGGTACGTGTACATGTTAATGGTCACACATTTTTGCATGTCTAACCTAGAGGTTTCAGAATATACGACTCAAGACACTAAGGAGCCGACCACATTGATGTTTTGTTTCTTAATCCATTCAAATGAGCGCACAAAGGTTCTACTGTGCTGTGCGAAAGCAGAAGGATATGAGTCTTTGTTTAATCCGTTGAGTAAATAAATACGTTAAGCAGAACAAAGATAGTGGCACTGAGGGGGAATATTATCACACAGAATATGAATGTTCCTCTGCACCTGTGTGTGTGTGTGTGTGTGTGTGTGTGTGTGTGTTTATAAGTGTTCACAATCTCTTATTATGCTGCTTCTGTAGAAGACCATAATGGAAAACATGGAAAACGCAACAGCCTTCCCCACACTGTAAAGGATGAAGATAATTTTACAAACCGAAACATTTTCAGAGACACAGCTTCTCCCTTTTTATTACTTAAAAGGGGACATATTACACTTTTTTTAATCATTTTATTTCTTGCACAACTGCCAAATTTTCTGTACTGATTTTGGGGGTCAAATTTATGGAATGTGCAAAAAGGCAAGAAACTTGTAGATCTGAGTTTACGACGAGCATTCAAACTTTGTGTGCACAGACTCCTTGTGGACCTGGTCAAGTTTTATTTTAGTATTATTTATATACTACTATACTTAGAGATGCACCGATCGACTGGCCAGGGACCGGAATCAGCTGATTTTCCGCGTGTAAATAAGGGGTAGGTGGAGCCTACATAAGCCGCCTCGCAGTCTCAAACAGCTTGTGAGTCGCAAGTACCAAAATGAGTGGCTTACTGCGCTTACATGGTTAAATACGCACACAATTATGTCAGAATGCCCGTCTTGGCGAGTATTCAGTTAAACAGTCAGTTTTGGAAAGTAAATAGTGGAGAGATAATGCATGTAATGTAACAGTATATTGGATCCGTGCATAAGCTCTTAAAGTGACAGCAGCCTAATAAACCTGCTGCTGTCTGTCATGTTAATACAAAAGACAAAGAAAAGCACTCTCTGTCTCTGCTCTTGACTAATTAACTTGTGTAACTAATTGTAAGCATTGATCTGTATTTAATTTTTACAATGAAAACTATCCAGTGTTATTTTACATTTGATTACTTTAATTTCTGTAGAATCTCTTACCTGAATATACTGTATACCAACCTGAAAAACTTAAAGCTGTGTTTATATCAATTAATTGCAATCGGTGCATCTCTAGTTATACTAATAATTCATATTTTGAATATTCATATTTATAACGTAATATAATGGGATATTTTATATATTTTCAGCTTTCATTTAAGTTTAATTTTTCATATATTTTCTTTTGTAATTTCTAATATTTATACTTTATATTGTTTCAGATTTATTTAAATTAAGTAAAATAACTATAGCCATAGGGTCTTAAATTATATGTGATCTTTTTCCCTCCTCTACCTGAGCCTTAAAATTAGACACTATTTGCATTTCAGTATGTAAATGACCACTTATTATGATTGGTTAATCTCTGTGTACTGGTGTAGTTTACATTTACACTCATTTTGCCAACCATATGTTAACCCTTTGATGCACAACATGGGTCTAAAATAAATAGACCCGACTGAGTTTTCATTTTCCATATCTTTGCAAGAAATTAATTTCATCATTCAGTATTCCAGGTATTCCCCAATTAACTTGTTTTAGATCATTACAAATCCTTATTTAAATTTTTCCTTTCTTACTTTTCGAATAAAAATCGTTTTTGTGTCACTACCCTTCTAATGCGCAACATGGGTCTAAAATGACCCGTATTCATGTCTCTTTACTGAATATTTGAAAGAAATGTATTTCATCATTTATTAATCCAGGTATTCATTAAATATCTTGTTTTTGATTTCCACAAAACATTATGTTTATTTTTCCTTTCTTACTTTATAAACAAACACGATTTTTGTATTTCTACATCAATTTTACACACATGGGTCAAAAATGACCCAAATAGGAACCTTTGATATTTATAAATAGTATAAATATATTTACTGCAGAAAACTATTCACCTGCCACACATTTCACAATTCAACACGTCTGCTTTTGTATATTTCATGCATGTAAGTTTTATTTAATACATTTTTTGTCACAGAAAATATTTGATATTTTGTGAAAGACATATAGATATAGCCTAATATTTGAACGTTTAGGCTAAGGTTACCTTGACCTTCTTGAAATCCATTACTAGTGCCAAAGAGAAACATGTCGCACTACACTACAGTTCAATTTCAGTGTTATCGGTTATATGTGTGTTATGTGTGACAAAGTGGTCAATAAACATATTTCAAGTGTTACAGTAAATGTGTTGATCTAAACAACTGTGACATTGGTTATTTTAACAAAAAGTTTTCTTTATTCTTTTGTTTTATCACGCTTGCATAGATGGGTCATTTTAGACCCATGTGTGTAAACTTGATGTATTAACACAAAACCTAGGAAATATTAAAATATGAATTTGTGATAATTGAAACCAAGATATTTTGAATATTCATAAATCATGAAATTTATAGATCATGAAATATTCAATGCTCAAATAAAGTGATTTCAAAAGGTGAAACAAAAAAAATGCCAAGCCATGCATGAAATAACATAGGAAATGAATACGGGTCTTTTTAGACCCATGTTGTGCATTAGAAGGGGTATCCATAGCTTGCGCATCAAAGGGTTAATATATTCATTTTATATTCAAAATCCTGTTTCCCACCATATGTCCCCCTTAATCCTGGAGCCAAAATGGAGAAATGCAAGCATGCAATATGATTGAATGTGCGTTACATCTCAAAGCCAAAACAAATCAATCATTGTAGAGAGCTTAAAATGTATGTTGCTTGGCATGTTCACCCATTCTTTAGTGGACTAACTCACGCACAGCATCATTTACTAATGTTATATGTGTTTTGGATGATTCCAAACACTGTGAAACGAAGCCCAATCCAGACCACAGCCAGCGGTCACGCTGCATGAGAAACATCTAAAAATACAAAAGCGCAGGATAAATCTCCAAGCAAATTAACACAAAAGCCTTTTTTGTTCCTGATTTTGAAGAGCTAAAAATCCAGCTAATTTGAGAGGAAGACTCTCCAGCTCAAATCATAGAAAGCCTCTTGGTATTTGAAAGAAAAAAAATACTCTCAGAAAAGTGGCGTACAGAGTGCATATCGGGTGACTGGGCAAGAGCGGTAAATGGGGAAAGCGTGTAATTCCACTTATTAAATTATATACCAAATTAAGAAGCTGGGGTTGCCTTTAGCGTCCTGCAGACCACATCTAGGAAATATCAAAGTGCGGGTTGAGAAGAAGAAAAAATGCCTTAAAAATAACATGTCAGCTTTTTCTGAAATCCATATGAAACTTCATCCATATTCCACTAGAACAAACCCATTAGGCAAAGGAAAGAATGAGGAGAATAATCAGACCTGTTTTGTCTATAATGTAAATGGCACACTAATTCTCATAAGTACACTGGATCTCTTGCCATCAAAAACACTCAAGCACAGCGTGAGGCAAGCCATCACCTCTCTAAACATAATGTTCAGCTTGATCCCACTTTAGCAACCACAAAAGGCACAAAAAAAAGCATATGCACGATTTAAGACTTTAAAACAAGACCTCAGATGCCCTTTCCACACCAGAGCTCTGTAAATCTACAGGCTATTGTTTCATTCAGCTACTTACAATTTTTAAATTGTTTTCAAGCTCTAAGCTTTCAAGGTCTAAAAACCACAAAGAAAATCTGTGATTTAAAATGCCATTTAAATCTGTAAATAAACAGAAAGCTTGAGGATTCTGGAAAAAAAAGGTAAAACAAAGAAATAAGCCCGCATGATTAATTGAAATAAAACCAAAATTGTGATATGGCTTAGTGTGATTACTAAATCGCAAATGCCGTGATTTAATTAAATAAATCAAAGCAACTTTGTGATTCTGAGTGAACACTGTGCTCTTTTACACACAAGCAGCTCATGATCCAGTGTTTTTAGTGTTTAAGAGCGGCTTGTTCTCAGTAAATGCAGCTCCACATGAACTCATCTCTGCATGAGAAGCGATTATAATACGACTGTTGTCAACAAAAGAGAAGCTTAAAGGGATAGTACACCCAAAAATGAAAATTCTGTCATCATTTACTCACACTCAAGTTGTTCCAAACCTTGAATTTCTTTCTTCTGCTGAACACAAAAGATAGGATTTTGAAGAATATGGGTAACCAAACAGTTGATGGACCCCATTGACTTCCATAATTTGAAAGAACAATTCTATGGTTTAAAACTTGAGGGTGAGTAAATGATGGCAAAATTTTAATTTTTGGGTGAACTATCCCTTTAAGTTCTCAAAATAAAAGCTTGATAGTTGAATGTTTAAAAAAGAAAAAAGGCAGCCGTAAATATTAGTGTTGGAATTTTCCAGTTGTACTGCAAAAAACACCATTATTATTATTATGATTATATTATATATTTTTTAATAAATAAATAAATAAATATTTTTAAAATTATTTTACAGAGAAATATTACAATAGTTATATTTAGGGGGAAACCGGATTCGATCCGAAATAATTATTGTATCAGACGAACTTTTTACTTTTGATGAATTCTTTGGAATCCAAACTGGTTGGATCATAATCACTTCTTTAGAAAGCAGCTGGTGAAGTAGCTTTCTGTTTAGGATACATTTCCTCAAAGTAGTCGATGTGTGGAGGCTGTAGAATGTCCAGAGCTGACAGCACCTGTGGAGAAACAAAGACAGAGTGCGCCAGAGGTCAGCTTTGACGCCAGAGAACGTGGGCACTGACACCAGCCTTCACATGACATTCGTTTCCCAGGCACCAGCAGCCCAGGGACAGCGAGAGCTAGCCAGGCTCCCGCTAATGGCACCATGGGGACGGCACGTAGATAGCGAGAGTTAGGTAACACTAACTGATAAAAAAAAACAAAAAAAAAACAGAGGATGGTGGGGAGCTTACATTGTCGTGCTTGAAGAAACAAAGCATCTTCAGTTCACGGAAAACCCTCTTGCAGGAGACGAGGTTTTGGAAGACATTGGGCATCTTTTTAAGGGCCACACGTTTGCCATCTCTGGGGTCTGTCACCGACCTGAGGAGAAAAGTAAAAGATGAGAAAAGAGTGATTAGGCTGAGCGATATAGCCAAAATGTATGTTTACATACTTTCTCAGAAGTGTGTTAATCCATTATGCTCACCAAGGCTGCATTCATTTGATCAAAAATACAGTAAAAACAGTTATATTGCGAAATATTATTACAAATTAAAAGAATGTTTTTTTTTATTTGAATATTTTTTTAAATGTAATTTATTCCTGTCAGAGCTGAATTTTCAGCATCATTACTCCAGTCTTCAGTGTCACATGATCCTTCAGAAATCATTTGGTGCTCAAGAAACATTTCTTATCAATGTCGAAAATATTGCTTAATATTTCTGTGCAAACTGTGATACAGTTTTTCAGGATTCTTTGATGAATAGAAAGTTCAAAAGAACAGCATTTATTTGAAATATAAAGCCTTTTAAATATAAAATGTATTTACTGTCACTTTTCATCAATTTAATGCATTGTTGCAGAATATAGTATTAATTTCTCAAAATATTTCTGACCCTAAACTTTTGAACGGTAGTCTGTATATACACTCACCGGCCACTTTATTAGGTACACCTGTCCAACTGCTCGTTAACACTTAATTTCTAAGCAGCCAATCACATGGCGGCAACTCAGTGCATTTAGGCATGTAGACATGGTCAAGACAATCTCCTGCAGTTCAAACCGAGCATCAGTATGGGGAAGAAAGGTGATTTGAGTGACTTTGAACGTGGCATGATTGTTGGTGCCAGAAGGGCTGGTCTGAGTATTTCAGAAACTGCTAATCTACTGGGATTTTCACGCACAACCATCTCTAGGGTTTACAGAGAATGGTCCGAAAAAGAAAAAACATCCAGTGAGCGGCAGTTCTGTGGGCGGAAATGCCTTGTTGATGCCAGAGGTCAGAGGAGAATGGCCAGACTGGTTCGAGCTGATAGAAGGGCAACAGTGACTCAAATAACCACCCGTTACAACAAAGGTGGGCAGAAGAGCATCTCTGAACGCACAGTACGTCGAACTTTGAGGCAGATGGGCTACAACAGCAGAAGACCCCACCGGGTACCACTCATCTCCACTACAAATAGGAAAAAGAGGCTACAATTTGCAAGAGCTCACCAAAATTGGACAGTTGAAGACTGGAAAAATGTTGCCTGGTCTGATGAGTCTCGATTTCTGTTGAGACATTCAGATGGTAGAGTCAGAATTTGGCGTAAACAGAATGAGAACATGGATCCATCATGCCTGGTTACCACTGTGCAGGCTGGTGGTGGTGGTGTAATGGTGTGGGGGATGTTTTCTTGGCACACTTTAGGCCCCTTAGTGCCAATTGGGCATCGTTTAAATGCCACGGCCTACCTGAGCATTGTTTCTGACCATGTCCATCCCTTTATGGCCACCATGTACCCATCCTCTGATGGCTACTTCCAGCAGGATAATGCACCATGGCACAAAGCTCGAATCATTTCAAATTGGTTTTCTTGAACATGACAATGAGTTCACTGTACTAAAATGGCCTCCACAGTCACCAGATCTCAATCCAATAGAGCATCTTTGGGATGTGGTGGAACGGGAGATTCGCATCATGGATGTGCAGCCGACAAATCTGCGGCAACTGTGTGATGCCATCATGTCAATATGGACCAAACTCCCTGAGGAATGCTTCCAGCACCTTGTTGAATCTATGCCACGAAGAATTGAGGCAGTTCTGAAGGCAAAAGGGGGTCCAACCCGTTACTAGCATGGGGTACCTAATAAAGTGGCCGGTGAGTGTATATATATAAGGTTGTAACCATCATTCAAAATGTTTAATACAAGAAGTAAAATACAGTAAAAGACTATTTAAAAAATAATAAAGGCTCGTTTCCACACTGATTTTTATACTCAAATGATCGAAAGCAAGAAAATGTGACCAGTTTCACCAAAAACACAATACATAGTAATACAAAACAATGTATCTACATTTTTTTACATTGTTGGTGGCACGAATTAATCATTGAATGACTGTTTTGAATCAGTTCACTGAAATGGACAGTTTGAAGTGATTCATAAAAATGAATTGAATCTATGAAATCTAATGCTAATATTTTGAAGTCGCGATACAAGGAGGGACTGCGAAATTAGTCACATGGCGTGAAAACTAGATGTACAAATAAAACGTGCATTAAAATAATAGATACTCATACTGTTGATGAATTAGATTTTTTTGTCAGCAAAATCTTTGCAAGTATAGTGTGAATATTTGATATATATCGCCCACAACTATTCTTCAATTTAATCATATATTTTGTTGAATTTTGACACAAAAAGAAGACGAGAGCAAGCGAGAGATGATTTGTTGATTAAAAGGCAAGCGCTGAAGGGCCCTCAGTAATGGCCTTGAATGTTTGTGAACATCTTTTGTCGTCACTCTGCTATGAGCAGCTTGATGTGACCTTACTGAGAGATGCCAATTGCTATAAGTGCCTCTCCTTCTTCCCTGAACAGTAACACATTTTCCACAGCAATGTTAAACACATTACACAAATGCAACTATCCTTTCCTCGGCATACAGAGTCATTTCAACTTGCCACTGTGCAACTATGCCTGTATGCCAGTTCATTTTTATGCATTGACTATATCAATTCAAGAGGGAAATATTATGTTAATGATTCTGAAATGCATCTAGTGTATATTTATGCAAACTACAAAGTGCACATTAAGTCTCAAACCAATACACAGACGTGTCATAAAATGTATGTACAGTATAGGCTTTTCAAAACACAAACTGCTTAGGGGCGTTATATATATATTAATAGCTGTTTTTGTCTTATAATAATTGTCTCAAATGTGTCTCATAAACCTCAGAGGTGTGATCACTGTACACAGGTAAGTGTGTCCCTGTACACCTCACCTGAAACAGAATGGAACATTCTGACTGAAAAACAATTAATGCTCATGGAAACATACCACAGTTTCATGTAATCCCGATAATAACAGATTTAAAAGAAGATATTTAATTATTATTATTTTTTCCATAGAAAAACTAGTCATTAACTTTGATTGTATGGGAAACATTCTTCAAAATATCTTCTTTTGTGTTCCATAAGAGGGGGAGTTTTTTGGATCACAATGAAGGGGGAGAAAATGACGGCAGATCTTAAAGGTTTTACAGTGAAAACATGCTTATTGAAGTACCAATAATATAAATAGTTCAAAGGTTTGATGTTTTTAACGATTTTGTCTCTTGATATTTACTTTTGTCTCTTATTGCCAAGGCTGTATTTATTTGATCAAAAACACAGTAAAAACAGCAATACTGTGAAATATAATTACATTTAAAAATAACTATTTTAATAAAATTTCAAATGTCATTTATTCCTGTGATGGCAAAGCTGAATTTTCAGCATCATTACTCCAGTCTTCAGAGTTTCATGATCCTTCAGAAATCATTCTGATATGATGATTTGCTGCTCAAGAAACATTTCCTTATTATTATCCATGTTGAAAACAGCATTTATTTGAAATAGAAATGTCTTCAATGTCACTTTTAATCAAATGTAATACATCCTTGCAAAATATGTATTATTATAGCCTATATTATTTATTAATGTATATATAATCCCAATATGTTCAAACAATAATCACACAATGTGCTTGATACAATTATTGAAACAATGTATGTGGGGGAAAAGTAAGACAAAGTGGAACAGATTTATGACAGATATATTAGGGAACAAAAACAAATGAGGTGTTTATTCAGGGTATGAAGAAACATAGATCGGTAAAATGAATGATTAACAGAGTCTCTTGGGTCGGCACAATGACACGCACAAACACTCTCGCACACACGCGTCTGGTCACGGCATGTGATTCACAAGCTGGATTAGACAACAGCACGAGGGAGAGGGGGAGGAGAAAGAGAGAGAGAGAGAGAGAGAGAGAGAGAGAGAGAGAGAGAGAGAGAGAGAGAGAGAGAGAGAGAGAGAGAGAGAGAGAGAGAGAGAAGATGTTTCTTTGATAAAAAGGCAATCACTACAGCACTGCCATCTCTCCTCAGTATCAAAACAAACGCTGAAGCAGGAGGCAGGAGATGAAGACAAGTTTCTTGTAAAATAGAGCAATAAAGAAAGACAGACTTAGTATAGATGTACACACTGAACTGTATGTGACTGACAATGCATCAGATTTGCACAGGAAGTTCCAAGGGCTAACAAGGATGGAGTTTGTTTGCACATCCTGACCACCCCGTCACAGCAACACTGATATCGACCAATAGTGTGGGTTGCGGGGCGGGACTATCTGTATGTCTGATGGGGGGCAGATCGGGGAGAGTGTTTAAAAACAGTTTGAAAACCATCATTTTTTCAATTCAGTTTGGTGATGCTAGTGGAAACACTTTAGATTCAAGGTTTTGCATATAAAAATATGGTGCTAAAAATAAATATGAATCATATTTGTGATGTAAATTAGTTGCCTTGTTGGGCTAAAACCCTGTTATTAGTTCTGTTATCTTTTGTGTATTTCCAGGCTTAATTTCACAGACGTGCATGAGGGGGAGTCGTCTAATTTAACTCATTAAAGTTGTGTCAGCAGCCTTGCCGCAAAATCCCTCCCTGCACCGTCTCCGGGTGCCAAAGAAAACGACAACACGAGGCCACGTGAGCGGTGAGCTCGACTGACGCCTGGACTCGAGATCCCGGAACGCTCTTCAGGACTCACACACAGGGCCTACTTCCTGGAGATAACGGAGCAAAACGTCTAAAATAGAAGGATATGCCGCACTCTCACTCTCCGTCTATCGCTCCATCTCTTTCTCACTCTCTCTCCCCATCCACTTTTAATCAGTGGCTATTCAAAGATGAAAAGCCTTTCTGAAAGGGAAAAATATTATCCATGTACTTCAAACATGGCTTTTCTCTCTCTAAGGGCACATGAACATGTCCTCAGAAACAAAAATGGCTCCTTTTAACATCTTGTTTGACGTTCTAAAAAGTAAGCTAGAGGTTGTTCCAAACCTGGACTCC